TTGGTTTCCTTTAGGATTGACTGATCTGATCTCCTTGCAGTCCAAGGGACTCTCAAGAGTCTTCTCCAGCACAATTCAAAAACATCTATTCTTTGGTGCTCGGCCTTCCTTATGGTCCAGCTCTGACAGCCATACATTACTACTGGGAATACCATCACTTTGACGATACGACTTTTGTTGGCAGCAATGTTTCCTCTAAGCTGTGGAGTCTTGTGAGCAAAAATTCTACTTTGTGAGCTACTGGCATGAAAGTTGTGAGCGGACAATCTGGCTACGGCATAAATTAGTCTGCTCTGGAGCCATCCTTCCTGAGTTAAGACAAAAAATGTGTGAGCCGGAGGCTAAAAACCTGTGAGCTGGCTCACACTAACTCAGCTTAGAGGGAACACTTTGTTGGCAGTGTAATGTCTCTTTTTATTATGCTGTCTAGGTTTGCCATAGCTTTCCTCCTAAGGAGCAGGTGTCTTTTAATTTCATGGCTGCAGTCATGGTCTGCAGTGATCTTGCATCCCAGGAACGTGAAGTCTGTCACTGCTTCCATGACTTCCCCTTCTATTTGCCAAGGAGGAATGGGGCCAGATGCCATGATCTTAGTTTTTTTTGATGTTGAGTTTCAAGTTCTTACTGTTCACTAAAAATGTAAGTTTAACCATCTGGTAAGTATCATTCAATTTATCTAGCCATGCCTATATACTTGGAGGCTCATTAGATTTCTAACATCATGCAAAATATAATCTAGCTGTTGTAATTGAATTTAACAATATGATTTGTGAGTTGCCCATAAATGAAGCTACATAATAAAAAAGTAATGTTTCAGCTGTTTTTGGAATATTCTTGTTTAGTCCACAGCTTAGCAAATCAGCATCTTTAGTGCAATAGTTCACAACTCATGGGTAGAGCTACCACATGTAAAGAAGTCTGCTGTTGTGGTTGACAATACCAACAATTGCCAACACAGGAATTACATATCTTTGTGATCAATTTTGGTGTAAGATATAACTGATAGTTTTAAAGATGTTTTCATTGAAGTTTAGACAGCCAGAAAATGAAGAGCTTCTAGACAAAGCAAATGTCCAGACTTCATTTTCTATTTCAATGCCTAAACTCTGAGCCCACTTATGAGCAGTAGTTACGATATTAATAATCAGATTATAGAACTTTGAAATAAAATGTTTTTTAAGCTGCAAAATTGTTTTCCAATTTATTCATTTGCCTTAAGGATATATCAGATGTAAGTCATTTTGCTCACCCCCAAAGCTTCCATCTGCGAGCACTTTAACAATGCTATATGACCATCACCACTTTTCCTCACACTGCACTGAATTATATCCTTCTGACACAAGTTCTTATAAAAATCTAGACTGAATCTTTCCCATTTGCTCAAGGAAGGAAGCTGAAACTTTTGATGTTTATCTAAGTCTCTGGCTGCTGATAATGGGGAAATAACTGGAAAAAGTTTTGTATTTATCCCATACTACTAAAAGTTTATTAATTATAAGATTATCATTATTGTAAACTCTCATCTTTTTGTCAGCCCAATGCAGTTTTAAGTGGCATTTCAACTTCAGTTTGTTCAATTACCAGTTCTGATGACCTGCTGTCTATATTCAACCACCTACAATCTCAAAGTAGATTAGCAGCATCATGATAGGCTTTAGTATTGGGGATAGCAAAACCACCTGAGGACCGTTTAGCTTGTTGTCCAACTTACTTTGAGTTTCTTAGATCTCCAAATATATTTGTTAAAGTTTCCTTGCCACTCTTTTAAGATTTTGTCATGAACAACATAAGGGATATTCAATAACAGATAAATCAATTTTGGTATTAACATAATCTTAATGGCATTAATACACCTCCAGATGGGTAGGCTATTTCAATGATTCTTGGTTTTGTTAAAGTGGGGGAGGCCTGTCTAGTTCCTGATGCACCAGCCAACAGAGCAACTGCCTTCTGTCCTACTAATTTATTAGAATGCAACATGCAGTCTGCAGAAGTGGGGGAGACTAAATCTGTGGCAGCCGTTACAGCTGTGCTTAGAGCATATGATATCTGGCTGGCTCCTACACCTTTGCTTTGGCAACTCTTTTCTGAAACACCTCACATTTGTGAAGAAGCCCATTAATCACCCAGACCTGGGTTTTTTCCTCCTGCTGCACCAACTGACTGCCTTCTGGCCCACTAATTAAACTGCAGCTGGCAAGGGCCTCAGGCTTTGGCCAGGAACTCTGCCTATCTTTTTTTTTTAAGGGATCTTTATGGAGGTTAGGTAAGGTGCTAGCAGAAGTTTGCAATATCTTTTTGTAAAGCTTAGCTTGTAATTAAGTAGTAATAGTTTGTTAAATAACTGTGTTAAGATAATGTAGTTAGAAAATTGAGATGCCTAAAAAGAAATTCAACAAAACACCTGAAGCAATTTCTTAACTTACTGATGTTCCTTTCTTTTTGTTAGACATTAAGGAATTATTGGTTAGTGAATTTAAAATTTTTGAAGCTGCTTTAATGGAGACCTTTGATTTTAAAAAAGAAAATTTTAGATAAGAGTTTAGATATAAATGGGGGGAAATGGAAGAGATACTTATGAATCTCTGTGAGGTTAAGGATCAACAATTTTAAACTAGTTAAAATCAAAAGTTGAAACACCAGATTCTAAATGTATTATTAAGGTCTTTCTCATTGAAATGATAAGATCTTGGAGTTGGAAAACAGCGTAGATGAGCTAGATAATAATCTTAGGTGGTCTTCATTAAAATTACATGGAATTAGAGAAAATAAGGAGTCTCAGTAAGACTTTTCCACATTTAGCGAGGGCCTTGTTTAAGCAATTCAGTCTAGTGGATACTAGACAAATGAATCCTGTATTATGAAATTATACCTTCGATTCATACTCTTGCATTAACCAGTTTTTAGTGTCAAAACAATTATTAGTCCTTGTGGGAAAGGTAGAAATTCAGCCAGTGACTTATGTGGATCACGCACCTATGATAATGAAATTATTTTTTATCAAATTAAATCCTGTGCATGGCATTATGATATACTCTTGAATGATGAAGTAAAATCAAAATTATACATGGACCTGCAGGAATTTTTCCCTTTAAACAATTCTGCATCTGCAGCTTCAATATGTGAAGCATGTAAAGTATCCATGAGGGACCTAGCAATTAATTCTGCTGCATATCTTGCAAAGAGGAAAGAACAAAGGAGAATTTAGAGCAATTAAAGCTTCTTGAACAAAAACATAAATAAGGACCATGAGGTCTGAAACCTTAAAAGCAGTAAAAAAGGTGAAAAAAGCTTCAGAAGATTTAAACTGAGAGAATAAAGATTTTATGAATACAGCAAGTAAGTTTCTTAGTTATACATTAAATGAGTGTCATGCTTTTTACAATTAAAAAATAAAAATTGTCATATTATAACATGAATTGAGGAAATTATGAAAAAAATGATTTTATTTGAACCTGTATACCTCAAGAAATCCCAAGCTAGAATGATTTCTTGTTAGAAAGTTTCCCAAACTTTCTGACGAGCATAAGGATTTAGTAGATCAAGAAACTACAAAATAAGATGTAATTATTGCCATAAAGAACCTTTCAAAACAAAAGTCCCCCTGGACTCAATGGTTTTGCACCAGAGTTTTATCAACAATTTTAAGTTGTGGTGGTAAACACTATGTGCAGCGATAAGGCAAATATTTATGAACCCATCTGCCTAAGACATGGAGGGAATCAAAAACGGTACTTAAAAAACTGGAAAAGACTAAGTTCTTATAGACCAATTAGCTTATTAAACTATGATTACAAAAATCCTTACTTCTATTTTGGTAAATAGGCTGAAGTCTACTACTCAAATACATAAACACCAATCAAATAGGATTTATTCCTGGAGGCCCACCCATGATAAACATCAGGAAACTCATTAATTTTCTCATTATGTGAATAAAGAAAATCTAAACCCATTTTTTTTAAATTAGACACTGAAAAAGCATTTGACTCTGTAGCATCCCTTTTCATTAAAATGTTAAGAAGCTTCTGGTTTTGTAAAGGCATTTAGGGCATGGGCTAACATTCTATACTCAACAGCAAATCCTCACTTAAACAGCAAATGCTCACTTAAGCATTCATAATTATCAGAGCCAATACTCATTAATTGAGGGGTTAAACAGACGTCCTTTGCCAGCCCTATTATTTATTTATAGAGATATGAGCTATAGCAGTGAGGGCGTCAAAAATAATTAGTGGTATGATGTTAGGAACGACTAACTTTTAAGCTAATGCTTTATACAAATGACATTGTAATTTTTAAAACTAACGTTAAAGGAATCTAGTCTGGCTTTTGAGTTGCTTTTTAACTCCTTTTCATTAATTTTTAGATGCACATCAAATGTAGGGGAAATTGGTTATATTACCCTTCGACAATGCCTTGACTGACACTGATATACCAAACTGTATACTAAAGATAAATATAGCCTACAAATATATTACTTATCTGGGTATAAAGATAAGTCAAAATAATATTATTGAGGATAACTTTAAGCCCTTAGTACAGTTCTTGTAATTACTACAGGTGTAAAATTGAACCAATTTTCCCTTTGTTTTCCCAAAACAGACAAATGCTAGTCTGCATCCACAGACAACAGCCAATGGCAATTTTCACTGAATACCAAAATTGAGATTGATACTGATCTTTTTTTCTATTGCTATGAACGGCTCTGAAGTGTTTCTGATGCCCTTTCCTATCCCTGTTCAGCTAAATGTTATTAACCAATAAGGAAATTTCTTGCAGTCTCCAGCAATGACACTTATTTTTCTAAGACAATAAACAACACATGCAACATTTGAAACAGAGCTTAAGAGTTTTATTCAATTCAGTAATATGTGCTGCTTTAATATATTATATAAACTTATAAATAATGTTATTTCCAGAGTTCAGCTTTAGTAGTACTAAATTAATCAGTAAGCATCAATTATACAATGCCAAAATTTTACAAAAAGTGAAGACCTTAGAAAGTATAGTGGGTTTATTGCATTAGAAAACACTGGATTAGGAAAGATACAAAATCAATTGTAATTGAGACAGGGCTTTTTCTTTTAGAATGCCTAACATTCTGCGCAATATATTTCACACAATTGTGAACATACCTTGATGCATGAATTTTACAAGTTCAAAAATGAAAGCTGTTAGCTGAAATTTAAAAATGTTTACCTGAGATTGTGTGTATCAAAAGTTACCATTGATGTTCATTCTGAATATTTGCAAGTTGATGATCTTATCTTTCAGTGTTTGCATGCAACCTGAAACATTACTGGGCAAGCTATTCTGCAAGTAGTTGGTTAGGCTTTAAATAGCCTCAGTTTCTTATTTCTTTTTCTAATTAGGTATTAGAAAGTGAGCATATTTAATGACTCACTTTTAAAAAAATCTGAATTGAACCAATGTTCCAATTAACAGATACTGAATCCATTATTAACAAATGCTAATAATGTAGTTTGTCCCACTCTTCCCTTAGAAAATGGTAATTTTCCTCATTCTGAGTTTGAGTTTAAAGACACCTAGCCCACACTTTTTAGCCTCAACCACTAGCCATAACACAGAAAATTAGAAAACTAGAGTCCCCTACAGATACACAGTCTGTATCAATATTAACTTCCTTTAAAAACAGAATTTGCATTTTTTATACAGATTTTACATTATTCGCCCTAACATTTGGCACTGCTAACTGATTTGTCATAAAAGTACAGGACTGATCAGAAAGTTAGCAAATTCCACAAAAAGAAATTATACATGTTCTAACAGCAAGTGCCTTATAAAAGGCATGCCACACTCCAAAAAACTGCTTACTTAATGCTTACTGAAAACTTTCCCCAAATTATCACTAGAGAAATAAACACACACAAAAAAGAAACCATGCAAAACTTGTATAGGAACTTCCACAATGAAGTCAAGTCTGTAAGGTGTGTAAATCATAATGCTATAATTTGTGACAAGCATGTGTTGAATCTTTGCAGCTCAGAATGACCTTGAAATCAGCTTATGAGGTAGTGTAGGTTTTTGTAATACATGCTGGTTATTAGAAGTACTGTTCAGATGATGTATTTGGCCAAATGTTCACCATGTGTTTACATTTCAGTATCAATGCAACATAACACTTCTATAGAGGCTAAATTATCACTAATCTAAACAATGCTTTAACATGTCAGGAGCGTACGTAGACTTAACTATTCTAGGACCCTGCAAAGCAAATAGGCATTACACAAAGATGATCATATTCCAAACATAGATATAAAAATGTCTGTTCTGAGGTAGGAAATGAAGAATTCCATTGGCTTTTACATTCTGTAAACCAGCAAAAAACGTTTGAGGTTCAGTAGGTAAACTTTGTTACCTACAGCAGTTATGCTATTACAGTGCAGAACAGTCTACAGTAAAGAATTGGTTTTTTACTTCAATAGTTAAAATTCAGTTGGTTCATTTCTGATAACTGAAGCATAAGCCATTGAAAACTGAATATGAATGGCTACAGTTAGTTTCACCCATGAAAGTATCTATTTAAAAGAATAATTTTCAAATGCATCTGAACTGGTCCCAGTAGTAATAGTGAAAGTTGAAATTCTTCCAGAATACTTGATCATTTTATTTTCCAATATAATCACAAACAATTAAAGTTTAAGCAGGAAGCACAGACTGTGGTATGTTAAATCAGGTAGAACCTGAAATATTTAGAGAGCAGGGGAGGGCCACAAGGTATTGAAAACTGGGTAGGTCTCTGGAGCAGTGACATCACATTCTGAAAGATATAAATTCTTGAGGTTTACTTGTAGTTGGAACTGTAAGAGAATTTACTATGTGAAACATTTGTTCCAGTTATTTTGTTTTTCATGACACTGAAGTACCCAAACTGCAGGAAATCTTTTTTGTTACTAAGAAAGACAGCATCTCCTTTCCATGTCAGAGGAGGCAAGCCCCAAAATATATTTAGGTTTGATTCTGGATGGTTAAGTACCAGCTAATGCTCTGCTCCATAGAGAAAGTTCATTCTTCCTACCTACGTTTCAAATCCTGCAAGGCTGTTTGACAGAAAGATTACTCCGTAGTGCATTTGTCAGTCATTTGTTGACAAAAATCTGTGATACCACCACTACTCTGCACACACTGCTCCAAACATAATGTTTTCTCCAATATCCTTACAGGAACCGGACATAATTCCTGTGCTTGAGTATATCCTGTATCACATGAGCTTTTTACATGCTGATAGCTAGAACTCTGCACGCCAGGAGATTCAACACAATCTTTAGAAAGTTCTATACATAATGGTACTGCAGACATCACATCAGAAGGTGCAGGCTGTTCCTTCTCTGGGATCAAAAATGAAAGAGGGCAATCAGAGGTGGAATATTTTGCAAGTATTTGTATTTGCTCATGACTTAATGCCGCTTCTTTACACATCTGTTGACAAAGGCCTGTCAGGTTCTGCTTTGTCTCACTGAGCGTTGACAAAATGTGGTCTTTCTCCTTTAGCAAGCTTTCTTTTTCACTTTGCTGTCAGGAAAAAAAACAGTTGTAAGCTATAAATTCTGTTGTATTCTGAAATATAGTGTAGTTTTTTATAACTGAGCTTTATTTCATGGTATATTTGTTTTAGAAATAGCAACAAAGGGTAGCAACTACAAAGCAATAGTGTGTCATACAGCTGCACATATCATGCAAGATCCACCATCCCTTCTTTCACGTATAAGCTCCTAAATTAACCCTGTAGGCATCTATGTAAAATTTTACAATTAGCTCCTAATTTAGATAATGAATGCAGTGTGAAGTAAAACGTGGAGGGAGGGCAGATGGGTAAAACACAATGAACCACTTGGCTTAAAACACACATGAGGAAGAAAAGGAGGATTGGATTTATCCCCTGCCCTTCACTACCCGAAGGAGTCTCAGAGTGGCTTACAATCCCTTCCCCTCCCCACAATAGACACCCTGTGAGGTAGGTGGGGCTGAGAGAGCATTCTCGAGAACTGCCCCCGAGAGGACAGCTCTGAAAAAACTTATAACTGACCAAGGTTACACCAGCAGCTGCATGTGAAAGAGTGGGGAATCAGACTCGGTTCTCCCAGATTACAGTCCTCACACCTTACCACTACACCAAACTAGCTCTTGATAGGAGATCAGGAAATCAAAGGCATGTTTTAGTTTAGTACTAGACACTGACTTGCATTTCTCATTAAATCCATAAAATACAGCGATACAATGAGGAAAAGATGGAGCAGGGGAAAACAGAACTACACAAATCTCAAATCCACTATATCAGGGGTTCTCAACATTTTTTGAGCCTGCAGGCACCTTTAGAATTCTGACAAAGGAATTCTTTGTGTGCAGCCACAAAAATGCCTGCCATAGCTTACCTTCAGTCACACAGTGAATATCCTTGTGCTCTGGGGATAGCTGCTGTCAAAGCAACATGTTTAAAAATCTACACAGCCAATCAAATCTCCAGTAGTGTATCAGAAGCCCCGCTGGGCAAAAGACCCACCTGGCCCCACCCACTTTCTAAAAACACTTGGGGGGTACCAGGAAAGGTGTCTGTGGGCACCATGTCAGGGACCCCCACTCTATATTAATTGCAGATAACTAGAGCAGCTACTGTGCTGTTGAATCTGCAACAAATTCACCTCCCTTCTTCCTGGCTCACAGCTCTCCCTCTTCAAAGTGATGGGCCTTCCAAACATAGTAGCTGCCAAATCAAGTGACAGTCCCTGCTCCTAAAGCTGGCCTCCCCGATTATACGTGGGCTCTAAACATACAGGAACCTAACAGAAAGGGAAACATCTCTAAAAATCCTGTAAAAATATTAAAGGCAAAGCCTATAAGATATGGAAACCATGAGAAATTTTTTCCAACTTATTTCGATGTAGTGTTTAAAACAGGGGTGTCAAACGTAAGGCCTGGGGGCCGGAACTGGCCTGTCCAGGGCTCCAGTGCAGCCCATGAGCAGCTAGTGCAAGAGAGTGAACAGGAGACTGCTCAGGAGGTGTGAGCAGAGCCACTCCGACTGTGGCTTCAGCATGGCGGAACAACCTCGTCTGCAGCAGTCAAGCAGCATGGGAGCATCTGCCCAGTGCTGCACCGCTGGCTCTCCAGTCTGCCCACGTGGATTTTCCTCTGCACTCCCCTCCCAGCCCATGTGGCCTTGCAGTGAGGATACAACAATTCGGAGCTTACCAGCTGCTGTCCTTAATACAACTTATATCTCTGGTACCTGGCATTATGTTTTATGGCACACATGCCCTGACCCGACAAAGTGACATTTACATCAGATCCGGCTGCAACAAACTATATCACACTACAGAGCAAGAAAAAAGGGGAAATCCTAATAAAAAACTAAGTTACAGTTAAAACAAATAAATTCACTCAGACCAGACCTCAGTGTCTGCTGACTCTCCAAGTACCTGCTATTAGTCCACTTTGGCTGGGGAAAAAGTAGGTTGCTGCCATGACAAAAGAACTCACAGTCCAGATAGTTTGCTCCTATAGTTCTTTCCTCCTCAACAATAATGCAATCAGCCCTGGCTACTTTAGATCTGCCTTGTAATATGCACTCCCAGTTGAGATGACCACCTGAAGAGGGGCAGGCTCAGTGGCACAGCATCTGCTTAGCATGCAGGAGGTCCCAGGTTCAATCCCCAGCATCTCGTTTAAAAGATCAATTAGTAAGTGCTGTGAAAGACCTCCACCTAAGATCCTGGGGAGATAATGACCTTGATGAACCAGTGGCCTGATTCATTGTAGGAGTTTCATGTGAAATGTATGTGAATTGCATCCCTTTCAAGAATGCACAATTTTGTATTTCCATTGCCATCTTGCAAAGCTATGCCTGGCCAAGTGGTCAACACCCTTACAACAACTTTTCTAGTTGCAGGGAAATGGGGAAGGAAATCTGAGCATGGTGAGAAGTTGTGAACAGCTACCCCTGAAAATGTAGCACCATAGTTTAAAAGAACTTAGGATTGTAGAAAGGTTAGGTTTTAGTTCTCAAGCAAAGATCCCACACATACCAATTTCTCTATTTCCGATTCCAGGTTTTGTATGCAGTCTAATTTTCGCTTGCGACAGCGCTGTGCTGCAATTCGATTTTTACTTCGCCTTCTAATATCGTGGATACAATCCAGCTGTTCAGCTGTTAATTTGTGCATTTTCAGACATGACTGAAAGTCATTTCTAGAAAGAGAAATGATCTTCTCTGCATCAAACGGCAGCTTTACCTAAAATGTAAATTAAAACAAAACCATGCATTACATTGTTTTTAAAAACTGGACCTCATATCACTGGTTACAAGTTCAAAGCACAGGCTTGGATCCAAGGACTCTGTTCCCCTCATGGTTCTCTCTGGCCACTGTGAAAGCTGTCCTCCACTGTGGCTCACAGTCAGAGGAGCTTTGGGGGCAGTTTGTGTGTCTCTATTATCTGATCAGAGAGGGTGGTAAATAAGGAAGAATTGAAGGATCCACGAAAAGGAAGAGGTTGTATGAGAAGCGAAATGCCATTCTAAGTAAAAGCTAGGCCAGTCCTGCATGTAGCAGGTGAAAAAAGGAAGGAGGAAAGGTGTGTATGTATACATTCTAAAAAGAAATTGTATGTAATACAATACAATAGTACAATGTATTAACTCTCATGCATTACTACTTTAATAGGGAATTAACCTTACTTTAAACAATTGTATTAACGATCTCTTGCTACTTGTAGTTTTAGATTGTTCCCATCCCCAAACCCTATAGGTGTGTAGTTTAGAAAAGCAATTAAAATGTTTTGTAAAAAGACGAAGAAATTGTATGTAATTATGCAAGATATTAGCCAAAAAGCCCAGCAAATATAGCCACCTAGGTAGAGCTTAGTAACATAAGCAGCACATCTTGCAGGGAAAGGGTTGCATTCATATCCAAGTTAAGTGTCAATTGCATGGGATCTAAATCTTTCAAATGAAACTCTACTAAAACAAGGAAACTAGGAATGCGTCTCTTTTGATCTGTGGGAAGAGGTTTAGGGTAGTGAAGAGACTTATCTAGAATCACCATTCATAGAAGGGAAACATGCAAATATACCCATGGAAGCTATGAATGTGGTTTTCTACCCCTTTCCATAGTTAGTATAGTCTCTGGATAGATATTTTATGTGAACACTTTGGGGGAAAATATTCAAAGGCAGCTCAATGGATTTCAACAGAACTCATCAAGAGTGCTTAGCACAACAGACTGGCTAGTATTCTAGTTACCTAACTCAGATATATTGCTTATTTTAGAAAAGAAATATATTTCTTTAACTTTCTTAGATGGAAATAAGGTTTGATGTAAGATATTCAGGAACAGAATGGGATTCTGTATACATTCTTACCTCACATTCCTGTTCTCTTGCAGAACAGGATTCACTATCACCTTCTGTATCAGTTTCAGAATCTTCTTCTAAACTTATCACACAGGAATAAGGACACTGTTCTTGCTGCTGTTCCTGTATACAATCACCACTACTAATTTCCGTGCTGTTTCCAGTACTGAGGTTATTTATGAAAGGGCAGTTAACAGAGCTCAAAGTTGTGAAAGTTCTTTGAGAACAGTGCTCAGGACTGTCACTGATCCTGATGCCTAACCAAGGACACTCTGCCTTTTTTTCTGAATAGACCTGATCTGATGCAGAAGACAAGCTGACTTGACATGTTGTATCTGTATTGTAAATGTCACTCCAAAACCCCTTTGCTAAATGTTCTGCTACCTCTCTTTCCACACTGCTGCGGTTGCTAGGTGAAGTATCATTCACATTTTCTCTTTCACACAAGTCAGACTTCAAAGGCAGGCTCTCATCAGGACTTCCACTGACTGGTTTGCAGTTTCCTGGTTCTGTAACAATGCTGCATTTTTCAGTGACCTTTTCAGTGACCTCTGTATTGCTCTGCATACCACTCAATGTCAAGTGACAATATTGATCGCATGTGTTCAAGAAAGCAGTGGAATAAAGGCCATGAGTAGCAACAGAGGAATTATGAGGAGAAAAAGTAACTGACTTCTCCACAGAACATTCAGTACTCTGGAACACAGAAGTTGTCTGTTTCAAGAACTCTTCTTTCCCATCTTCTTCCATTTCTACCTGAGCATCTTCACATTTTGTGTCTGGAGGCACAGCTGCATATTCAAAAGATTTTTCTGTAGCACCATTAGTATATGATTCAATCCGATGAACAGATGCAGCAGATGTTACCTGAACTTCTTTAATGTTGGAGCTGGACTCCAAAGTAGGGGCTTTATCACTCCCCACAGCTTTTTGGAACTTCCTGTATTTGGGGCAAAGGGAGGCAAAATCAAGTCCCTGGTCCCTTTCTGATTCAGACTCAAATGTCTGACTGGTGTTGTCCTGTAGAAGAGATACGTCTGAATTTTTTTCACTTTTGTAGTTCTTCAAGTGAGGATGAATGCATTCATTTTGCAAGATTTCATTCACATCGTCTATTTCCAGACAGCTATCGGCAGCAACATCTACTTTATGCTCCTCTTTCTGACAGCGTGATTTACAACACTTTTTTCTCTGATATTCACGCCAGCCTAGTTTATGGTCCAGAAATTTGAATTTTAGAAACTGAAAGCATGATTCCTCAATGTCATGTATTCCCAAGAATTCTGCACACTTGCAAACTTCAGCTACATTATCTTTATCTAAAATAAGTTTAGAAGTATATGCAAATTGAAGCAAAGGATCAAAGCCTTTTAGTGTAACCTATTTAAGAAAGAGGGATGAGACAAAGAAAATATATTAACTTTCTACCCCAAGATGGCAAAAATTAAAGAGGTGAATACATAAACATGTAAATACATTGTTCCTTATTAGCAATCAGTGATTATAACCTTTGACTTGATTTTGGCTTGTTTGGGCTGTAGCAGAGCTCCCCAATGTGGGCTTGTGGGCACCATGGTACCTGTCAACACCTTTCCTGGTGCCTGCCAAATGTTGTTAGAAAGTGGGCAGGGTTTCTGATTGGCTGCAGACATGGAACATGCCACGCAGCAAGGGGGGCACAGAAAGGAGAAATTCTTGCAACTGCCCTCCTAACTGTTGTTTTCCAACTGTCTCTCCCCAACGTTCTGTCAGCTCTCACTGGACACTCTTAGGGAAAGGCAGAACCTACCCTGTCTATCACAGACCATATATGAAGAGGCAGTTCAGCTGTGTAGGTCCTAGACTGTAAAGGGCTTTAAAGGTCCAGTACTTTTAATTAAACCTGGAAGCAAATCAGTAACTAGAGCAGTTGATTTGTGTAATTGGAGCCACGTCTATTAAAAGGTCAGTGGCTTCATTCTGCACTAGTAGAAGCTTCCAAGTTGACTTTAATGGAAGCCCTATGTACACTATGTTAAAGTAGTCCAGTCCAGAAATTACAGATCAGTAAGTCAGCCAGGGCTGGAATTTTCAATTTTCAAAACAAAGGTAGATGAAAAAAGCACTCTTGATCACAGAGCCAAACTGCCTTTCTAATAACAAGCTGGATAGAGGAGCTCTCCCAAACTCTTAACATAATCTGCCAATGATCATCCTGTGTTGGTAAATCAGTTTCCTCAAAAACACTTTTTTGCAAACATCACCCCCACTTTATCTGGCTTTGATTTGCTGCTCCTCATTTATTTCACCTCTGCATCAAGGAACAACTTCAAGATTTGACTGAAACACCCTCATTCATTTATATGGGATATATTCCTTGTAATGAGGGGTGGCAAAAAAGAAGGGGGAGATAGGCAAAGATTCCATAACATGTCTGCTCCTGATTCAGTTGGACTGTGCGTTTCCCATACTGAAGTGTGTGTGTTTGTTTTTTTATTTTTACTGCACCTGTAGCATTTTACAAATGCTGTGTGCTGATTTGGGGACCCCAGTTTAAAAACAGGATGCAAACCCAATAAATAAATCAATACAAGAAAGCATGACCAGCTTGGTTCACAGGCTATTTGAGTAATATCTAAGAAGAAAATAAACACATCTGAACAGCAGAGCACATTCTGCTATAGAATCTAATAGAGATTCAAGCAAGCTATAAATCTATAAAGCAAGAAATTCAAGCCTTTTGTTGTAGCATTTATATGTATACTAAAGCTTTTCTTCCTTTCAAAGTAAGAGGAAGAAAATTTACATTGAAGGATAACTAAAATGAACATCAGTGTACCAGAAATTAGAGGAAGTGCATGGAGAAGGATAACAGATGTTCTTTCTTTCATTTTTAGAATGAGTGTCACTGTGGTTATTCTAGAGAACAAATTATGCAGCGAGTCCGGGATCACAGACGTTTGATTTGGTTCTTACTCCTGAATGCACACCTGAAAGGCACATCACTATTAATTTCATGTGTATAAATTTCTGTATCAAGTGCTAAATTAGTATTTTTCTTCAATGGGTCTTCCTATTAAGAACCCAGGGATAAACTGCAGCAAAACTGAATAAGGGCTTCAAGTAGAAATGATGGTCTATATGGAAAGCATGTAAACTGCAGTGGCACTTACCTCTTCAGGTAAAATAATGATAAGATCAAGTTCCAACTGACCCACAATTCTTGAACGAAAATAGCTGCTACAAGCAGCAAGCACAGAGCGATGAGCCCGAAATCGCTGATCTTCCACTAAGATGGTAACATCACAAAAAAGATCTTGCTTTCTCTGCTCATCAAGACTGAGCAGAACATTGATACTGTGTACTGAAGACTCATACGCAAAAACCACAGTATTCCTTTCGCTTAAAGACATGCTGTATCACAAATGTTAGTGAAAGTCTCAGAGGGGAGCATGTTCTGTTCTTCAGACCTGAGAGTAAATGCAAACAAAAACTAAATTAAATACACACCACAAAGCATCTGCACCACAATATTAACAAAAGATACTATTAATATGAAACCAAATGTTAAAATAGATAAGGCACATGTTACTTTCAGCCACTGAGTAGAAGATATTACGAAATGCACCACAGATCAGCTTCAGTGGTTGGACATTTCTGGTTTCAGAGTGCATCCTGCTCACATATGCTGATGTGTAATATTGCATGAATTATCTCCATCTACATTAAAATGTTAACACAGTTAACCAATCTTGCAAGTAGACTACATGTACTTCTCAACAGCTGCAGCTGAAAGCAATGGGAAAATAGGGGAAACTGCAAAACCCATTTCTTAGACTGGGCAAAAATAATCTAATAATGCAGTATTTAAGTTTAACATGGAAAATCCAAACTAACTCTGTTTTAATAAATTATTTTTCTGTCTATTCCAATTATGATATTAAGACACCTTACTAAATTATGATATTAAGACATCTTACTACTGTTTACAGAACTTGACTGGAGTTCAGCTCAGGAAAGATGGACTCCAAGTGGGCTAACAATTCCAAATTTGGCCTTTTATCACTTGAACAAGGCTATTCTGGTTATCAGAATGGTTTAGTACTGATTTAAACCTGAGATTTAAAAAGATTTTTTAAATGCTGTTGTATGAAAAGATTTGAAAAAGTAGTAATGGTCACATTCAACACTTTTAAGAATTACAAAGGAAAAGCTTTATCTTTCAAAAGCTCTGTAAAGGTGAGATGCTGGAGGAAATGGGTAAATTGAAAGCTGCTTTATTAAAGAAGGAGACTATGATATTGTTAATATTCTATTCTATGTTATTAGAGGCTAATCATAGTATAAACTAGAGATTTGAATGGAAATGGAGGAAAGCCCTGGGCCATGACGTTAGCCATTCTGTTTGGTCTTTTTTGTAAGCCCGGGGGAATCCACATTTTCAGTTTAGTGTACTTTTCAGAGAAAATATACGCAAGATACTCCACCAATGGTATTTAAGTCCCTTTAGCACAGCCAGGATTTAGCAAAAATATTCAAGATGATGTTGGTCCTGTGGAGAGGACAAAGCTGACTTTATACAAATGTGATGGAGCTGCGTAAGAGCCAAGAGGTCTGGGGAAATGGTAACCAACCTGCTGTCTTTAGTGTTTGGTGTTAATTTGCAAAGCACAGGTGAATTAATTCTTAGCTATATACTTTCAGTTCCTTGTGAGTATCAAACATATTGCTCTTTATCTGATAACTACTGCTAGACCTACAATTTCCTAGAGTTTAAAAATCTAGGCTACTTCCTAAGAAACAAGACTGGATTGGTAGTGCAAAAGAAATGTTCATATGGGTCAAACTAACTACTTTACAAGAAGCCCAGGATGTACAAGAGATAACAAAGAAATGGGTTTTTGTACTTAAAAACAGAGTCTTCAAGAAGTCTAATGTGTTATCTGACATGAGGAGCTCTCTTCTATGTCCTCTGTTGTTTACCGTGATTGTAAATATAGGTTGATATTGATTTACTGTGCTTAATTTTAAATTTTATTCTTAAATTTATTCTCAAATCTTTTAAAAATAATTTTTAATGCACAAAGTTTAACACAACACTCTTCATAGTGATCTAAGCAAACATCAGCTTAGAATTTGTAAAAAAAACCCTCTGGATACAACATACAGAAACTGAAAAAAGGAAGCTTTAAGCCACAAAAACATTAATCTGCCCACACTGCATACAGAGCTGGCATTTAGTTTACAGTGTAACTTGTGCAAGTTCAGTCGTAAAAATACTGCTATAGTCACTAGTTTTCTACCACCTTCTGTTCAGGCTATAGCTGGGTGTTTTTAAAAAAAAAATGACTAAGAGCAGTTTAAGAAGGTTTCAGGAAAGGCAGCATATGCATTTTCTAAAATAAATAAATATAGGAACAGAATTTTCAGCCCAGATTGTTGGCAGGATTGTTCACCAACTCCAGTTAGTATGTGCAATAATAATCTATTTCCAATTCACAGCTGATGATAACCCTTCATATCTTTTTAGATTCAAGACTACATTACTCTAATATGACTGACAAGGAATTCATCTTGATTAGTGCTTGAAAGCATCATGTAATTTGTAGCAGGTCACAGAGAGAACAAGGCCTTGAATATCTAGCACAGGTTTCCCTTTACTTTCTGTGCATAATTTATGGTGCTGATCTTGACCTATAAAATACTAAAGTTTGCATCTTCTCCCTTGTTCTACTTGTATTTACAATGATTCAAGAATATCCTTAGGTGTACACCAATCTACATCAAGTCTTAAGTACAAAAGCTTAACCTCAGTGGATGATTGCAAGCAACTGCCTATCCAGTGTAGCTCCTAGTGGAGTTTTGTTGAAGTCAAAAGCTATGTATTTTTCAGAAGCAATGGGATATACTCTTGTTTGGCCTAAACGTATGTCAAACACATGGCCCTGGGGCTGGAATCGGCCCATTCAGGTCTGTTATCTGGTCCACGAGCAAGGAAGAGGAGGATGGTGGCGGCAGTGGGGGCTGTGGCAAGAGCAGTGAAAAGGCCTGTGTCAGGTTGTCTGGTTGAAAGGTCCATCGCCCCTCCCCCTCTATCTTGGTTGGGCCAGGCTGCACACACGAGGCCACTGTTCCCTCTCCTCCTCCCATCACAGGCTGGGGATCACTGCCTCCATGTCAGTTCATGTGCACACTGGGCCACCTCCTTTGCCACCACATTCTTCTTCTCTGCCCGCCTCTCTTGCTTTTTCTCCACTGTGATACTAGATAAGCAGCCCTTTGGGAGTAGGGGGAAGAAACCCTGATTCCAGAGTTGCAGAGAAAAAAGTTGCTGATCTGGTGTAGTGGGGAAGTATATTTTCAGAGAGGAAGGAGGACCCCTGGGATTACTTGTGCTGGGGAGAGGAGGACAGACAGGAAATGTTTCTCTCAAGGTGGATTACACTTCTCCCCACCTACCAATGAAAAGATGTCACAAATCTCAGGTAGGTGGGGGAGCAGTGTGATGCTGAAGGATAAGCTTTCTGAAGTTTGCATTAGCAAATGTTACCAGTTTTTGGGTCTGAATTACCCCCAACTTAAGGCATTTGCTTCTAAAATTCTGCCTATGTTAGGGACAACGTTCATTGGTGAACAGCTCTTTTCTGTAATAAATGTAAATAAAAGTACATTGTCAGCTTACTGATAAGCACCTAAATAGCATATTCAAGATTGCTACAGCACAGACACTGACTCTTTTGCTGCAATAATTCAGACCAACAGGTGTCAGTAATTAAAGAGTGTTAAATAAAGGAAATACTATAAGAGTGTTAATGTTTTAAGCATGTTTGTAGTTTGATTAAAATAATGTTGTTAATTAGGCTTGCCTGTGTCCTTTATAAAGTTTATATCTCTGGTACCTGACATTCCATTTTATGGCACACATGGCCCAGCCCAACAAAGTGACATTTATGTCAGATCTGGCCCTCACAGAAATTAGTTCAGCACCTCTGGCCTAAGAAGAAACTGAAGTGGACATACACTCATCTTTGTACTTTACGGATTTCATTACACTGTATAATCCCTAGGGACGTATTATGATTTACAAAATTTCTAAGACCATATAGTTATTAATTTTGTTGTATTTATGGAGGAAGCATAGATGATTTTGTAATCCAAAAATAACAATTTTGCAAAGCCTCTCGCAGGGACAGAATTTCTTCTTAGGGTCACATAGAGTGCATGAATTAATTTAGCTGCAATACAGAAGAGATGTGTACACCTTTTTGTTTTTTGTATATAACTTTATTTTTATTAAATATCAAAATATTACATTTCCTCAGATAACCATTTCAACAATAAACAATATAACTTTTAATATTTCAATAAAATGCAAAATTAACATACTTTGCAGGTAAGGCACTACCTGTATCATTTGTTTTGTTAATATAATCAAAAAAATCTAAACTACTTTTTTGTAAAATTTTCTCTAAATTTTGTATTCTCCTTTTCTCTTATTTGTGTTGGTGTTTTATCTATAGCAATTATATCCCATACTTTCAAAACCCACTGTCTAATAGTTGGTATTTTATCTGTTTTCCAGACTTGTGCCAAAATTATTTTTGCTGCAATTAATAATAAATCAAAAGTTCCTTCATAGTACATGTAAAGTGACCCTTATCCCAGCCTTTTAAAAGAATTCCCAATGGGGATTTAGGAATTTGAATACCCACAATCTCTTCCATCTTTGAAATTATTTTTGACCAATATTCCTGTATTCTTGGACATGACCACCAACAATGAAACAACAATCCAATTTGCCCACAACCCTTCCAACACATAGTTGTCCTCCGATATTTTTGAATGAAACAATTTAAGCGGAGTCATATACCATCTTGAAAAAATCTTATAATTTTGATAACGTAAATTTAAAGCTGCAGTGGTATATAATCCCAAATTCCATATTTTATTCCATTGTTCCAAAGCAAGGTTCATCTCAAGATCTTTATGCCAGGTCTGTTGTTGTGCTGAGATCTTTGACCATTGCAAAAATGCCAAGGACTTATATAAAATAGATATAATTCCCTTTTGTTCCGTCAATTTTTTATGAATTAAAGTCTCAAAAGCTGTCAATAGGCGATTTGAGTTTTCTATTATGCCATTTGCGGCGATCATATGAGATAATTGTTGCTCTTGAAACCATGGAATTTCCATATTATATTTTTCTGCCATTTGTTCTCTAGTCCATTTCCCCCCTTGAAAACATAAATCTCTAATTCTAAATTTCCCCGCATTTCTTCAATTTTTATATGTGTTTAACCTCCTGTCCAGGGGGAAACCACACCTGACCTAAGAAAGCTGCTTCTGGTGAAATACCCGGAGCTAATACTCTATTTCTATCCCACACCTCTAAAGTGGTTCTCAAAAATTGTTTTTCCCTTAATGATTTAGGTCTATTACTAGGTGAGGCCCAAAAGACTTCATGTATCAA